TTTTCTGTCTCTAGACGTTTTTCTGTAATTGAATTCCTTCACACACACAAAGATAAAGCCAGAGTTTGGTCACATCTTTATCTTCTAGTGTTCACTGAATGTGCAGCAGCTGTTTGTGTGTGGCAGTCAGCAACTTCTACAACCGTCTGTTATCTTCTGTCAGGATTACTCCTCGGAAGTTTGACATGGTGCCAGCCTGCGACCCACAATTTTCTGCTCATGGGACCAATAGCAGTCTCACCTTAAGCAAGAGGGGCATCCGCACTTCTTTCACTTTTCGCAAGATCAGACATGAACCCTGCTGCTGTGGTGAGAACGCTGCAAGTGCACAATAACCTGAAACAGTTTGTAAAATCTGCCTGTTGTGTACATATGATATATAGTCTGATGGACACATTTATTAACAGTGTAACACTTGCCTGAGAGTATTTTTAGTAGCAGCAGTTCCACTGATGACCAAACCTGTGACATGTCATTATGTTTGTTACGTACAGCAGCCTGTCCACTGAGCTACACAGGAGCACACACTGACTTTGTGAGTCTTTAAATATGTAGGCTTACATCATATCAGTAGTATAGTACACAGTTTGACTTTATTCATTGTCTGTTAAATTGTGACATCCAAGCTCTGAAGTCCCACAAGTGGACATTCCTTCCAGTAATTTAGACACACTTCACAGGTCAGAAATTATGTCATACTTGCAGCCCACAGGAGCGTGCACGCATGCTTAGGAGTTGAATGTATCTACAGTTTGCAAGCAGTTCTTTTCACACTTTTTCATAGGCCATTTGAGTATCCACTGTTTGCTTTTTTTTGTCTTACTAACTGTCTAAAAGCTTAAAATAAAAAAAGGCCAACTGGAAATGGTCCCATTTGAGAATATGGAACCAGGAAAGGTTGGAATTTCTGCTTAGTGTAGCAAGCTGGTCAGAATGAAGTGGTTGTGGGTCTATAGCAGTGTGTGTGTGTGATACCCTATGCCTCACCCTCTTCTTTTTCCTCCCTCCAGCCTTCCCCTCCACCTGTGACAGTCAGGGAGCTCCCTCAGCACCCTCACCCTCTCTGCCATCTCGCCCCTCACTACCCTGTTGCCATGCCGATGCAGCCCGTCTGGAAGAGGAGTATGTGCACCAGGTGTACGATGCCATCGCCTCTCACTTCAGCAGCACTCGCCACTCCCCCTGGCCTCGTGTCTGCCACTTCCTGTCCTCTCTCCCACCTGGTGGTGTGCTGGTTGATATCGGCTGTGGAAATGGGAAATACCTGGGTGTCAACCCAGAAGTGGTTGCAGTGAGTGTCATCATATATTGTCTGAAATGATGTGATACTTCAGTGATTTGTGAAGGGACATGTCCTTTTTCCTTACATTGTTTTATTACTGTAGCTTAGATTACTGTCACTGTGAAATGCCATGCATTTTCATGACGGTCATTTATGTGCGCCACATTATGCCATAACTGCTGAGACTGTTTAATGTATGTGGTCACCAAATCATTTGTGACAAAGGCAGCAAACAATGAATCAGAACAACTCTGCTACTGCTTCAGAGACGAGTAGTGGCTCTGGTAGATTCAACTTTAACTTTAACACAAAAGTAGAAACATTAATTTAACACATCGTAGTGTTTAATCTATATACAAACACAAATGTAAAAGCAACATTTTATGGGCGTTTCCTGCTGGAGCTGTTTCTTGGTGAATGCGCTGGTTGTAGCTGACTGTGTGCAGTAGTCGGCAGGTTTGGTATGGATGTGGCTGTCCAGAGACCTATAACACAACCTGTGCTTTTTCTGGCATCCCACGCTGTAGCTGGAGATGCTGCACAGAAATAACTGAGCAGGTAAATCAGTTTCATGCAGTGTTTAAATGAAGTGGTCTTTTTTTATTAGAGGTGTTGTTAGGCTTGTTTTCTCTCTGTTTGGAGAGAGTCAGGCTAGTGCCTCAGTGCTCAGTATTCTCATAAATATATAATGAAAAGCAGTAGCAATGTCAAATCCTCAGCAGCCTCAGGTGTTGCATAAGCCAGGTCCCTCTGCTCCAGTGGAGGAAAACACATGGTTTGCATCATTAAACTATCCTTAGGCAAGAAGCTGCTGTTTATTAATTTACCTCCTAGTACGAGTAAGTCTGGTCCTCTGGGTAACGCTTTGGTGCTATTGCAAGTCATATTGTTTACATGAAGGCAAATATCTATAATAGTCAATCTGTCAAAATACTTAGGCCAAACTGTTGTATTAAGGTGTCTCATGTATACACATCATGTCTCATTTAAAATAAACGCAAGAAATAGGTGAGCACGGGGTACAACCTAACGCGTTTTGGTTTTTGCAAAATAATTTTAAAAATATTGAAGTTGGAACAATCGTGTTTTTGCATGAGCAACATGTACAGGGTTATTCAAAAAGAATGAACCGATTTCATTACGCATTGTAAAAATGACGGGAGGCGTTACCACGTAACCCATGGGTGGGGTTAATTGTGACAGACAGAGGGTTAGTTGTAACATTGGCTAGAAAAGTATGATAAATTGGTACACGCCACTTGACTTTGTGTAACCACATGAAAGGTCCATGTTCCGCTGCACCCAGGGTTGATATTGTTGTTGGTTTCCATGGTAAATTCGCTGCTTATGTACAGTGCCTTGCGAAAGTATTCGGCCCCCTTGAACTTTGCGACCTTTTGCCACATTTCAGGCTTCAAACATAAAGATATAAAACTGTAATTTTTTGTGAAGAAACAACAACAAGTGGGACACAATCATGAAGTGGAACGAAATTTATTGGATATTTCAAACTTTTTTAACAAATAAAAAACTGAAAAATTGGGCGTGCAAAATTATTCAGCCCCCTTAAGTTAATACTTTGTAGCACACCAGGCAGGTCCGAGATACTGTTGTGGAGAAGTTTAAAGCCGGATTTGGATACAAAAAGATTTCCCAAGCTTTAAACATCCCAAGGAGCACTGTGCAAGCGATAATATTGAAATGGAAGGAGTATCAGACCACTGCAAATCTACCAAGACCTGGCCGTCCCTCTAAACTTTCAGCTCATACAAGGAGAAGACTGATCAGAGATGCAGCCAAGAGGCCCATGATCACTCTGGATGAACTGCAGAGATCTACAGCTGAGGTGGGAGACTCTGTCCATAGGACAACAATCAGTCGTATACTGCACAAATCTGGCCTTTATGGAAGAGTGGCAAGAAGAAAGCCATTTCTTAAAGATATCCATAAAAAGTGTCGTTTAAAGTTTGCCACAAGCCACCTGGGAGACACACCAAACATGTGGAAGAAGGTGCTCTGGTCAGATGAAACCAAAATCGAACTTTTTGGCAACAATGCAAAATGTTATGTTTGGCGTAAAAGCAACACAGCTCATCACCCTGAACACACCATCCCCACTGTCAAACATGGTGGTGGCAGCATCATGGTTTGGGCCTGCTTTTCTTCAGCAGGGACAGGGAAGATGGTTAAAATTGATGGGAAGATGGATGGAGCCAAATACAGGACCATTTTGGAAGGAAACCTGATGGAGTCTGCAAAAGACCTGAGACTGGGACGGAGATTTGTCTTCCAACAAGACAATGATCCAAGACATAAAGCAAAATCTACAATGGAATGGTTCACAAATAAACATATCCAGGTGTTAGAATGGCCAAGTCAAAGTCCAGACCTGAATCCAATCGAGAATCTGTGGAAAGAACTGAAAACTGCTGTTCACAAACGCTCTCTATCCAACCTCACTGAGCTCGAGCTGTTTTGCAAGGAGGAATGGGCAAAAATTTCCGTCTCTCGATGTGCAAAACTGATAGAGACATACCCCAAGTGACTTACAGCTGTAATCGCAGCAAAAGGTGGCGCTACAAAGTATTAACTTAAGGGGGCTGAATAATTTTGCACGCCCAATTTTTCAGTTTTTTTATTTGTTAAAAAAGTTTGACATATCCAATAAATTTCGTTCCACTTCATGATTGTGTCCCACTTGTTGTTGATTCTTCACAAAAAATTACAGTTTTATATCTTTATGTTTGAAGCCTGAAATGTGGCAAAAGGTCGCAAAGTTCAAGGGGGCCAAATACTTTCGCAAGGCATTGTATGCACACTTGAATACTCATGTTTGGGATTTGGTGTTGTATATAAGCAGCTTATCCTGACTCGGACTGTAACTGTGATAACTCGTTATTGAGAACACTGTGATCAGGACACATGAACCTTCTGAATTGAATCAGCTGTTTTTCTCTTTTACTCTCCCTCTTCCCATGTCATTGTCTCCCCTGTTCCAGATCAATACTGTTAGTGTTCCCAGCTTTAATTTAAGTGAAAGGGTTTGACCTTTTGTGTTTTTGAGTTTTGGTGTTTGCGTGTGTGCAGTTGTGCACATGTATAGCATTTCTCACTATCTCATATCACCCCTGTCTCGTTTGGGAAGAGATTGTATGAAGTTTGATTAAATTTCTTCCCGAGATAAAATCTGTTGAAAATTGTTATTGCTGCCACCCATTTCCCCCAGTCTGTTCTCTCCCTTTCACATTCCTTTGGTGTTTCTTGTGCATTTCTCCACATGCTACATTCCTCTGTGTCATCCTGTTTTCCCTCAATTTCCCTTAGTAAAATATTTATAGGGCAAAATCAGAAATGAGAAATGCATCTTTAAAATCAACTAAAAACAAGATGCTTACCAGTGATCTTGTTTAGATTTGGTTATGCTTTCAGTGAGTGAATGATTTTGTATGCCTGTGTGTTTTGTGTCTTTTCAGGTGGGCTGTGACCGTAGTAGCGCTCTTGTCCAAATCTGTGCAGAGAGGGGTTTCCAGGCATTTGTATCTGATGCTCTCAGTGTCCCTGTGCGAACAGCCTCCTGTGACGCCTGTATCTCTATAGCTGTCATACACCATTTTTCCACACAGGTAGGTATACTACATGCACATACAAATAATACCAAGTGATGTTATTGTCTATAAAAATCATAATGCTTTTATCCCCAAGGATCTGCTCTCCACTTAGTCAGGGGCTAAACATTACTGATGGGTGTTTGGTGACATAGAAACACAAGTTTTACTAATTAATTATTAGAGCTGGGAGACTGAAAGGAGGAGACTGCTAATGAAAAGCCGAGCCAGCTTTTTTTAATCCTTAAATGGATTTGTCTGACCTTCACGTCTTGAAACACAATAGAAATGCCAGCATGAGTCTGAGCAAGTCCTTGTACCCCTGAGTTTGGTCTTGAGTTTTTAGTTCCTTTCTGATTGAAATGGCCAAGTAAAAGTTTGTATGTGTTGCAGGAGCGTCGGCTGGCAGCAGTGAGGGAGGTGGTGAGACTTTTGAAGCCTGGAGGTCGGGCGCTCATCTATGTTTGGGCTTTTGAGCAAGAGTACAACAAGCAGAAGTCCAAATACCTCAAAGACCATCCTGAAAATCACAACCTTGTTCACAACACACGAGAGGACAGTTGGGAACCTTATGGCGAACGGAGTACCCATACCAACAGACAATATAAAGACGAATACAAGCCTGTAGACAACATACAAGATGTTAACAAAGTGACGGATGGCAAACTTAGTGTGCACATCAATCGCACTGCGTTCAGTACCCAGGACCTTTTGGTTCCCTGGCATCTGAAAGACAGGAAAACACGAGAGAAGGGAGAATCAGGAGAGAGAGAGAAAAAGGATAAAAGTGAAGAGAAGACTTCACTTTGTTCAGCCTTTGGTTTTAGCACCAAAGCCAGATTAGATTGTAACCCTGACTACAGACCAAACTGTGACTCCAGCATATCTTCTGGATCAGGTCTCAACACTAATGATGTCACTCACAGCCCAGACTCTAATCCGAGTTCAAAGAATGACACACAGACGTCCAACTCTAGTCAAGGGTCTGAGTCTGAGAGTGGCCCATTGCCTGTGTTTCATCGCTATTACCATGTGTTTCATCAGGGGGAATTGGAGCAGCTGTGTGTTCAGGTGGCTGGGGTCAAAGTGCAGAGCAGCTACCATGACCAGGGAAACTGGTGTGTTATATTAGAAAAGGACTAAGGGAGATGACATGCATAAGGTGCCATATAGATGTTGTGAGAATACTGTAATGAATTGTGACTAGCAGTGTAACCAGAAAGAAATTTAAAATTATCTTTGTTTTAAATGCTTAAGAAAAAAGTGAGCAGACAAGTGCTGTAAAATAAATGTAAACATTTTATAAAATGTCTTTGTCCATCATTTCCTGACAGTGGATAAGCTCACCTCAGCAGATGTGTCAAACATATGAATACATTTAAGTGTTTTCCCTCAGTTTTGCAGCAATCTCACCCCTTTGGTAAAAAAGCAGGTGAAAGCATGTGCGTATGGCTAAAATAAACCATTCAAATGCAGAATTAATAATGAAATGAGTAAATATCCTGCGACTGGTGTTTGTAACCCAAATGGCCCTGTACCGTACAGCAGGTCATCAATAATCTCTATCACTTCTTTGACCTCAGTGTCGTCTCTGAATTCACTGAGCAGTATCTAAGCTGCTAACAGTGTGTTTGACCTTTTCAAGCCAAAGAGCCAAGGTGGATCATGATGTTTCAGGTTGTATCAACCAAAGATCAATCAATAGTGCATTGCAATCTAGATTCACTTTTAACTGGTATAATGTAGTAGCACTAAACTCTGACCTTAACATTGTGTTGCACTCACATGCATTACATCATATTAGCAAGATATGTTTTGCTAGATGACATAAAAACAGAATGAACCCCATTATCTTAATGGGGTGTTGATGGTGGCAGGTAGAGTGTAATTATTTGTTGTTGCCCCTTTGTGGTACTTGGTCAGCAGCTCCTGGTAAATTACCCATCAATCCTCTGTGACCCACACATACAAACAGATCATGGTGCTGAGGTGGGAGATGGTTTGGTGGCTTTTATAGGCCGTGGTTTATTGATTAAGTTGAAGCAGCCTGTTCATATATATATATGTGTGTGTGTGTGTGTGTGTGTGTGTGTGTGTGGGAGAGAGAGAGATAATTTGGCATTTCATGTACAATAATGTATGTGAGTGTGTAGTAGTGTGATTGGGCATGTAATGTTGAATTTGTCAGCAGGTTTGTGCTTGACATTTGGAGCTGGACATTTGGAGAGAGATTTAAAATTCAAAGGTGTGCTTTCCTCAGCCTCCCTGGGAAAGTCTATGCCAGGGTACTGGAGAGGAGAATTCGACCGATAGTCGAACCTCGGATTCAGGAGGAACAATGCGGTTTTCGTCCTGGCCGTGGAACACTGGACCAGCTCTATACCCTCTTCAGGGTGGCGGAGGGTTCATGGGAGTTTGCCCAACCAGTCCACATGTGCTTCGTGGATCTGGAGAAGGCATTCGACCGTGTCCCTCGCAGCGCCCTGTGGGGGGGTGCTCTGGGAGTACGGGGTCCGGGGCCCTTTCCTAAGGGCTGTCTGGTCCCTGTACGACCGGAGCAGGAGCTTGGTTCGCATTGCTGGCAGTAAGTCAGACTTGTTTCCAGTGCATGTTGGACTCCGGCAGGACTGCCCTTTGTCACCAGTTCTGTTCATTAT